TTCTTTTTATAAAAATTTAGGTATAACTAAAAATATTAATATAAATTAAATCAAACATTTGAATTCATACTAAATAAGTATACCTGAAATTCTCCAAACTACATATCCATAATCTCTTTTGGGATCTTCTTCCTTGATAAGTAAAGAGCATCATATTTGTTCTATATAATATCTCGGATCTTTTTAGTAAGTGGCCTTGAAGGATTGAAGATGAAGGTTAATTTTTTTGTCAATAACATATAATAGTACTTAGTAAACATGAAAATAGCCCATAAACTAACTTTTGATCTAAAAGAGAATCAAAGTTTGTAAGAAAAAGCCTACGCCATATCCAAAATATTCTTACAACCTAAGCCACCTTCATTGAAGGGCCACACATATTCTGCCAAGAAGACCAAAGAATACAAGATTTATTATTACTAGCACCCAAAAAAAACTTGTTAATTAATCTTTCCAATCTAAGGCATATGGAAGGAGACGGGTTCATAGTATGAAAAATATAAATCAGAAGAGAATTAAGAACATGTTTAATAAGAACGAATCTGCCACCAAAAGAAAGAAAATTTGAAGACCAATTACAAATTTTTCTTTGGAAAATCGAAACCATATCCTCAAATAGCATACTTTTCTTACGCCTCTTGTAAATAGGGGTCCCAAGGTACTTAATAGGCAGAGCAGAGCAATTGAAACCACAAATCCTTTTAATATCATTAATTTTACCTTGGCTAGCAGACTTAGAAACAATAAACATACTTTTGTTCTTATTAATGAACAGACCACTCATAGTTTGATCCTCAAGATGCTTAACAAGAAACTTAACATTAGTAGGAGAACTATTAGCAAAGATAATGAAATCATCAGCAAAACTGAGATGGGTGATAGGAATACCACCCAAGGTACGATAAAAAATATTAGGGTGTCTCTTATAAAGAACCTCCAAACCCCTAGATAAATAATCAGCAGCAATAATGAATAAAGCAGGGGAGAGGGGGTCACCTTGATGTAAACCTTGACTAGATTTAAAAAATCCATTACTTTTCCTGTTAATAATAACATAAAAGAAGCAATGCTCGATACTATTCTTGATCAACAAAATAAAAACTTGGTTAAAACCAAATAAAAGCAACACTTTATAAAGAAAATCTCTAGACAGGTTATCATAAGCCTTAGTAATATCCAACTTCAAAATAAAGTTCCCCCCTTTAACTTTCGTATTGATATCATGAGTAATTTCTTGGGCAAGTAAAACATTATCAAAAATGCTACGACCTTTCACAAAACTAGTCTGGTTCTGAGAAATAATTCTCGGCAGAATATTAACCAGTCTAGTAGCAAGGATTTTAGAATTAAGCTTATTAAAAAAGGAGCATAAACTAATATGTCTAAAGTCATTCCAATTATTGGTAGCAGATTTCTTGGGAATTAAAACGATGTTAGTAGCAGAGAAGAATTTCAAATACGATTTACCCGAGAAGAAGTCAGCCACCGCCTCCAAAATATCCTCCTTAATGATGTGCCAAGTCTTAATGAAGAAATTAGTTGTAAACCCATCAGGTCCAATAGCAGAATCAATATTCATATCCTGCATAACCTTCCAAACCTCCTCCTCAGACGAAAAAAGAGTAAGCTGGCAATTATCCTCCTCAGAAATACAACTAGGAACAATATAAGGATTGTTAATGGGATTAGGAATAAAATCCCTATTGAAAATATTTTTAAAATGCTCCACACCAGACAATAAAATAGAATCCTCATCCTCCAAAACCTTACCATCATCAGTAGAAATTTTGAAAATATGGTTCCTAATTCTTTTCTTATTAGCCAAAGCATGAAAAAATTTAGTGTTCCTATCCCCCTCAATAGTAAATTTAGTCATAGCCTTTTGGTGCCAAAATATCTCTTCCTGTTCTTATAACTTAAACAAGTTTATCTTAGCAACATTAAGATCAGACAGCTTATCACTATCAGGAATAAGCTGATGCATCTGCTCTAAATCCATCACCCTTTTTTCACCATCATGAATATTATCAAAAATATTTTTAAAAGTATGTTTGTTCCACCATCTCAAAACCTGTTTAAGTCTACTAAGTTTGCTCCAAAGTTTAGCCATACCCGAAACATTGTTACACAGGAATAAAGGAGCTTTCCAATTATTTTCAAGAACATTAAGAAAATCATGATGCGCAAGCCACATATTTTAAAATTTAAAAGCAGTAGGAATAAACTTCTTGTTAGCATTTATAGAAAGAAGTAAAGGGGCATGATCAGCATTACAATTAAAATTAAACATAGATATAAAAACGTGCACAACTTGAATAAAATCTTCGCTAATATTAGCCGTGACAGCATTCTTCCAAAAAATCCAAATCTTATTAGAATAATTAGCAAATTTATTAATAAAACCTAACTTAGACGCCGTATTTTCAAGTTTGGACATAGCAATCATGGGTTCAAGTAACACCATAATTTGAATATTATGAATCCTACAAATATTTTTAACTCTAGTTATCGAGTCCTTTCCACCAATACCTTTAACATTCCAAATAAGGGACTTAACCATGAGAACCTTTGGCATTAGTTTGTGCTCTAGTAGAGAAAGGCGTAGAGGATACAAATTCTTTATTTTTCTTCCCCTTTTTCTTATTAACTTTAGTAAATTGGTCCTTCCCAACATTATTAAGAAAGGAATCATCCACAACGGCTTTTTTAGACTTTGAACCTTCTAACACAGCAGGTAAAGAAGTATCACGTTCAAGATTTTGCATAGATTTTTCCTTCCTATTTTCCGTAGGGATATACTCCCCTTCTTCACAATTCTCACTACGTACTTTCCACATTTTGCACCAAATTCTCCTTCCTATTTTCAGAAGAATTATATTCCCCTTGTTCACCATTTTCACTAACATCGGAATCCTCATTAATGGCTAGGTTAGCTTTCGTATGAGCCAAAGCAGAATCAATAGAATTTTTTAGCATGGAATTAACAGATACAAAAAAATTTGGCATTTTCTCACTATCATTACACAATACATTACCTTCACTATTAGCAACCACCTCCACTTCGTTTTCCTGCCCGACACAACCATTCTCCTTCTCCACCTGGACATCCATAACAGCATGAGATAAAATTTGATCTGGCACAATATTAGAGACAAAATTAACAGGAGAATCAGCTATCTCAACCGTAGATTTTACATATTTTTTTAATTCAGGATGTAATCTAAAACAATCAGACATAGCATGGCCATGAATTTTGCAATGCGAACAGAAATCAGAAACCTTCTCAAACTCGATTTTTTTGCATATAACCAAAAGCCTTTGAGCCAACCCAAACTTTTTTAGGATGTTTTTTCGAAATATCAACTTCGACCAGAACCCTAGCCACAGAGGGACGGGTCCTGGAAGCCGTAGCTTGGTCAGTTTGCAAAGGCCACCCAAAAACAGAGCCAATAGCATGTAAAACTTGGGGGTTAAAGAAATGTAACCTTAAGTTCGGAAATGAGATCCAAATCGGAACTATAGGGGATTCTTCATGAACATCAAAAAAGGGGTCCATTTTAAAATTCTCATTTGACAATTATTTATGAAGTAATATCTCCGAGCAAACATTCTACTATAGTCGAGATCATTAGATAACTGAATCGCTACATGTCTAGAATCCAAAAGCCCCACCGAGTAAAAACCAGACAGTTTATGATTAGCAAAAAATGATCTAATAGAGTCAAGATTCGGTCGACGCAAAGTGAACTTACTAACCATAGTAAACTGAAACGGACTAGCTAACTTAAGAACATCCTCATCAGAAATTAAAATAGCAGGAACACCGTTCACAATAGATTGCATAAGTTTAGGAGCGCTATCACCTTGCATCGTGGTACCGGAAAGCACGTCTTTAAAAGATCGAGTAGGAGACTTGGTAGAATCAACATCCAGATCAAAAAAGCCTCTACTTTTTTCATGTGACGGGCTGGTAGTTTTCCCCCAAACGTTGGATGAAGACATCCCTGCCAAATGAACGAAGCGCCAACCAGGGCAAGAAGGCCGAAAGGGCCACCAGATAGCACACGATGAGAGAAAAACGGACGGAGAAGAGAGAAAAACAGCGCTCGGAAGAAGGTCAAAGGAAACCCTAGAAATAATATTATAATAGAAGAGCACAGTTTCATTTCATTCTTAATGATTTGATTTTGAAACGAACAGATACTAAAACTTGAATAATATGCACATATTCTTTTCAAGATAAATAAACTCTTTCAAACATTAGAGTCTTATTATTTATCAATTTAAAGAGTATATGAATCAAATTATGATATCTTATATATTCTATATAAAAAAAAAATATATTATTATTAAAAAAATCCAAATTCATATTAGTCATAAGCCATCAAAGGGTGCTATATTTATGTGATAGGATTTCGAGTTCATTTCCTAAATTATCCTGTCTTGAATCATATTAAACGAGAGAAATAATCACTTAAGATGGTATATAAGTATGAGTTTTAAACTAATAGATTATTTCAACGATGGTTTGCAATTTGATTTGAAATATATGAATGTAAAAGTCTTGTACGATTATAACTTAGTTATTGAATTTTTTTTAGAAAGTTAGTGCAAAAATATAAATCATATGCATATATCAATAATTAATCTCTATTTCGAAATCTCTTAAATAATATTTTAGCTCTCAACTAACCAATCTAAAAATGAGTAATCGTTGGAGAATCATAAATTAATTTTTATCCACAATTATATCGTTTAAATAATAGGTAGAAAAATAAAAATATTATGTGAATAATTTAATTACTGCACTCAAATTCAAATAGATGACATAGAACAGAAAACTTCCTGTTACAAGCTGACAGATCTAACGCATAAAATTTCTCATAAATTTAATGGCTTATAACTTTTTGTGGGGGTAATATTAAAAAAAAAAAACCTCGGTTGCGTCTTTTCTCTCTCATAGTCTTTGTTTTATCTTGCTCATCGCTTTTATTACAGTTGTTTTTTTGGGAATACCTTTTATTATTTTAGTTATCTTTTCTGCCGTTTGTTCCACCACCGCCTCTTCTCCCCAACTTCGCTCTCTACAAAGCAAACAAGATTTTATTCTCTCTCCTATTTTCTTCCCCTCTTTTAAACTTCTTCAAGTTCGCGGAGCGCTTCCATGGCGGCAGCAAGTGATCGCTTCTCGATTCGGTATACTTCCTCTCTTCTCTCTCTCCCTCTCTCTCTCTCTCTCTATCTATACCATATCTCTTGTGCTTTCTACTCTCAATTTCTGACAAGATCTGAAATCTATGCTGATGCTTTGATCCAATCTTCGGCAACTGAGTAGTGATTACGCGGCAAAGATGAGGATCGTTGACTTAGCAAAGTCATGGCCGTTCATCGGCGAAAAGGACGAAAAACCATCGCTTCCACCGATTTCAATATGCAGATTCCGATGGTGGACAGACGAGCTCAGCTCAGCAAGATATGCTGCTGATGAGGCGGAAATTAAAGCGGCAGAAGCGGAGAAAACAAATGAAAAGCCAGTTGAAATAATCGAGCGTCACTTACCAAATTCTCCACCAATTGCGACTGCGGAGAAAACAACTGAAGAGGAGTATTTGCGTCGTTCGACGAAAGTAAAGACTAGGATGCCGAAGAAGCGATCAATAGTCGAGCTCTTTGCTTCCGCACCGCAGATCGAGCCCGTGGATCAGTCGAATGGCAATGATGGAGACGGAGAGAATAAAGAAGAAGAGGAGAAGGTGATGAAGAGGAAGAGAAAGGGGAAACGAATAAAAGGGGCGATCAAGATGGAGATTCACGCTTTGAAAAAGGTACGTTCTTTATTTTTATTTTTATTTTTTTGCATTTCCATTTTTGAAGTAAAGAAATTCTTGCCTTCTTCTTGATGTCTTATTGTGGGAATAGGCCTTTTTTAATTAAGTCTTGTGTCAGCGTTCTCATCATTTAGGTATTGTAGGGTACACGATTCGTATTAGTTGTCAGGTTTGGTTCTCTAATAATTGTGTGTTGATATTTTTTTTTAGATTATGTGATTAATAAAGATGAAAGGAGGTTAGGGAAGTGTTATTTTATGTGATTTTTTGGCGATTTATGAGCTAGAAACGTCATTAACGCTCTGATTTGTTCTGTTGGGTTGACGTATTTAGCTTAGTTTGTTTGGTTCTCACGTGAATTAAACGCTTGATGGACTGTTTACTTGGTCTCTTTTGGTTAAATTCTTTTTAACATCAGCAGGTTCGGATTTAAAATTTAGGGTGAGATTCGAGGGAATGTGGGGTAAGCTTATTAGATGATCGCTGGATTGTAAACATCTTATTTTTTGCTTTGTTTGCATTGCAATGAGATGATGTTATGTATTATAGGTGACGTTAAGTTTCGTCTATTGATCAAACTTTAGTTTTGTTCGGTAAATTTGGTTCACAGATTAATTCTAGGGGAAATTTTTTGTTTGATGATACCCTCATCGTTCGTTCTACTTTCCTATATATTTCTTTATCGTTATTGGTTCATCAATCCATGCCTTCCTATATTGGAAATTTTTTTTACTAGCTAGTCTTACTTGCTTTATACATTCCTTCTACTAATAAACAAACCTTGTTTATCAAGGGCGATATATGAATGGGGAACTTCACCCCAATGGCACCGCTAATATTGATCTGCTGGTTTGGATCTTTCACTGTCAATTAAGAGATTTTTGGTTTGAATCATGTCTTAGCTTAAGATAGAAAAATTTCATCTTTTTTTTTCATAAAATTAACCAACGACAGGACCTACATGTTAATATAAGATGAAAATACAAGGTCCTTAAGGGGGACCTTCAACTCACTATTGCTCTATAGAGCTACAAAATAAATTCAAAATAAAAAACCTACAAACTAAAAAGTCCCCTCTAGAAAAAAAATACAGGAAAACTCATAAACATGCTAGGGCCGCTAGGAGCTAGCACCCAAAAAAAAAAGAACCAGATGAAGGAAATTGGCAAAACCTTTCTCGCCCAAAAAATCAGCTTGCAACTAGCACCAACAAGCCAAAAAATCATAAGACAAGGAAAAATACAAACACAAACGGGCACAAAGCAAATATTATAGAGATTAACATAAGCTTAAACAAGAAGGTTTATGTCATAGTAGATATGATCAGAAACACTAAGAAGCCAAATATGAAGAAAAATGACACCAATGAACATCATCTTCTCATTTCTGCAAGTGGTACAAAGGATATTGGTAGCCAACCTAGAGATCATAAATTGGTTTAGGGCAGCAAAATAAATCAATAAATAAACAAAACCTTGAGACAAGTCGATAAAATAGCAAGACCATTCTTCCGGGCTACAATCTGACCATACAAGTACATACCATTACTACCACAGAAACAACATCAATTCACCGAAACAAACCGCAGACAATAACCAACAATACTCCTGTTCAAAAGAAGATTTTTAGAAGCTAGCACCAAACTAAAACACAGACTACATAAAGAAACATTGAAGCAGGGCCAAAAATAGAAATTGGCACATAACAACAACAAAAAATACCCAATCAACCTAGAGCTCGAAATAACCCAACAAACATCACATACTGAAAACAGCAGAGCCTCCCACATCCTGGTAGAGATACATACCCATAGAAAGGCGTTGAGAAGAGTGTCCATAAAGACCACCATAAAATCACAAAAATCCCCAAAAGATAGCCAACATAACCAAGCCAAGAAAACAACAATGATGAAAATTGAAAGAAGCCACACAGAACAACCAAGAAACAGAAACTCTCACCAAATAACGAGACAAAAGTAAGGCAAAGGTTAAACATTCTAAATACAAGGCAGGCTAGACTTATCCAAAATAATAATACCTTTCAGCAAGTGAGGTAAGTTCATAGCATTGAACTCTTGAAATCCAATAGGGTGACACCCAAACTTAGCCATCCAATCTGCAACAGAATTAGCTTCCCGATGAATATGAGAAGAATCCATTAAGGTAATGTTTAATTTTTCTAAAGGTAGAAATTATGTGGGCTCCCACGCATGGACCACATCATTAAGAATATGAATAATAAGCAAAGCATCCACTTCACTCTAGACATTAATTAACAATTTGTAATATATGACATAGATCTAAACCATAAGATAATGCCATAAGCTCGGCAGTAACAACATTACAGAAATTTAAAGGACCAGCAAAAATAGCAATAACATTACAAAGATGGTTCTTAATGATGCCATCCTCAACAACATCACTGGCACCAATAGACCCATCATAATTCAAATTGCAATAAAGAATAGAAGGTTTAATTAATCCATCTCACAATGAAATCCATTTTATCAGAAAGATTATTCTTGTTATAAATACCCAAATCAAAAATAATATACGGAAACTAGTAAAAATTAGCGTCCAAAATGAGATTAACAGGCAAAATTCGATCATAATTTAGTGTTTTACTCAAAAAAGTTCCACTAATTCGTCTTGATTTTGCAGCTAGTTTTCTTGATTGTAAATTGTTAGGAAAGATGCAAGCTTTCAATCAGTCTTTTTAACGAGAAAGAAAAAAGCATCAATGTGCATAAAAAGTGGAGTTATAACTTTAATTAATACGAATATTTTCTAGGAGAGTTCATCTGTGAAGTTGAACTTTAACTAAGTCACAAAATCTAAAATTGTTGAGGATATATAGTGGAGTTTACTTCAACATGTGAGCCTTTGTCAAAAGCTTTCAAATTGTTGTAATTGATTAAACCTGAGGAATTCCTAGTACCTAAGGCTTGTTCTTTAGATGTTAGTGACTCATTAATTGCATTCAGTTAACCAAAGGAAGCATTTCAATTAAATCATATAATTTTTTAGTTTCCTTGATAGTTAAATGTATGTTAACCCTTAACTAAAATGAAATGGGCCGAACTTTGATCATATTTTAATTCACACTCGCACTTCCTAAAATTTTCCAAAACAATCGCTCATTTGGCTAAATTCCTAAAAACATAATGATTCTGCTATGGGAAGGAGGGGAGGGAGACACTATAATGATTGTGAAGAGTGAAGGTTTCATATGATATAATTACTGCATGCAGCTTGTACGGTATTTTAATTATTTTCATTTCTTCTCTGAAAAATGGAATTTGATATGTTAGCACCATCGATGTTATTAAAAGAGTGAATTTCATCGCAGGAAAAGTATGTAGGCATGATCTTTCTCATACCACCTTTTATATGGTTCATGGATTCATTCGATTGCTTTGAACATTGTAAGATTGGAATTAGATTTTTCAGCCATTTGGATCAATTAAAAAATATTTAAAAGATAATAAAACCTAAGCATGAACTACATTTTTGTTGGATATAACATTAATAATAAAAAAATAGTAATATTTAACTATGGTATATTTATTTTTGCTAAAAAAGACATAAATGGTTTCTCTTGTTAAACACTACATTCTAATTCCTTGAATCGAATCCTTAAAATTAAATTTAGTTTAAAATAAAATGTTAGATATTCTTGGTAGCTACTATCACAAAAAATTTAGTCAAAAAAATAATATCCATAATAATATAAAATTTCAAAGATGATTAAATTTATAAATACAAATCTTATTAATTTTTAATATATTTACATAAACTTTTATGTAGCCTACACCCCTTATCATTGGAAATATTTCTTTTCGCGGTTTCAAATACTCTTGGTTTATCTTTAATTCAACTCCTATTACACCCATGTTTACAAAAATTTATCAAACATTCATTATATGAAATATGGATGTATTATATAAAAAAATAAAAGCATAAATATGATATAACTTTTAAGTCAAATGATCAAATAGAGTTATGTTTTATGAGTATTGTATATGTAATATGAGATTATAATTAAATTATGATGATAAATTTTATTAAATTTTAATTAGGCATGTCATATTTGATGGTTTTTAGAGTTAGATGATAATAAAATCACCAATAATTTTCCTAGGCAGTTTCACTTAACTCAATAATAAGGCACCTTTGCTCTTATCTCTTGTGATTATTAATCTCTTACTAATATTAAAGATCACAAAATAAAACAGGAACACTAATTTCATATTAAAAATGAGAGAATATTTCAACAATCACACACATTATTTTAAAACATTTTTATGCTTTAACATAGTCCACCTTTTCTAGAGTTGCATCCTTTCAAAATAAGATTACAACAAAAAAAAAAACAGTAAATAAAACTGAAATATTAAATTTCTCTTGATAGTTATCCGCATAACCACCATTAACTTTCACTTGATAGTTATCCACATATCAACCAGTAACTTCTACTTGTAATTATCCACGTATCAAACAAGTTACCCATATTATCTGATTTATTTGAGTTTATCAACAACTAAGTGCTAGAAATGGAAAGCTTAATAGCCAAATTTATCCACATCTTCTCCTTTCAAATCCCTTAGAAAGATTGCCAATATCATGATATGAACATAAATGTTGGAATTTTTTATTCAAAATTAGTTATATTGGCTATTGCTACTGTCGTTTTAGACTACGATAATGATTGCTCTCCTATTGCCAACTTCATATTAAAAGTCGTTTTCCCATCTCTTTCACCTCTTCAATAAATGCAAAAGATCAATAGTGCCGATACTGTTTGTATTATTGAGAGTACGAAAGAAAGGCTCAAATGTACTCCCCCTCAAGATCCTATGACAGGTTTTGCCGAGTAATACAATCAAATGATCATTATTTGGTAATGTTGGTCTGTTAGTCATATTGGTCTGGCTTGGGGCATGCTTTGCAATTATTGTTTTATAAATGATAATAATTTATAAAAAAGCCATAAGCTAACAAACCAAAGAAGAAAACGTAAAATCAAGAGAGCACGTTAATCAAATTAGTTAATTGTTGCTGGTTAGCTCAGCTGTTGTCACACATTCTTGAATCCATGGAAGCGGTCTTCTTCGGATCGGAAGAAGCACACTGTGTCATGATCCACGATTTGCAGTAGTGGAGCGTCCAAGAAGCTTCGTGAGTTCCTCGCAGTCCTAACGACGAGCACTTTCAACCGGCTCAAGAACCTCTGCTGAGAGATATTCAGAGGTGGTAGTGAGTCTGGTCTTCTTTTACCTCAGAATTGACTTCGTGGTCTTTCCCAAACCGATAGCTTTTTCTTTTCCCGTCTTTATTCATAGAATTTCGAACCAATAGATAGTAATTGAGAGTGCGAGCGCGCAAGAGAAGTTGATTATAGAGACATATGCATGCTTGTGACTTTTTTTTTTTTTTTTGTTTTTCAGAAACCAGATAGGACTTAAAATCGGAAAGAAGAGAAGTTTGGGGTTTTTTTATTTTTATTTTTTTTAGTTTTATTTAAAGAAGAATTTGATTTTTCACAATGGAGAAAAAGGATTCATGTAGCGGACCCCACCGATTGGGACAAATGCTTGATGTTGTTGTGGATAAGAGAAGTTTGAGGTTCAATGGTTCAATCCGGAACGAATTAGGGTTAAATCGATAACGTTAAAAATATGAATTTTTTTTAAATAAGAATTAAATGATAGAATAATCATATACTTATATAAAATTTAGAATAAAACATAGATATATTCACACATTAATAATATCTTACATAGATTTTATTTAATTCAAATTTAACAAAAAATTAGCTTACATATAAATTGATAAATTTAATGTAAATTATTAATAATTTATTTTATACGTTTAAATATAATTTTCACTTATAAATTATCATTTAAATTCATATTATAAATTTATATTTATAAAATATTAAGATTATATAATTTATTATTAATAAATAATTAATAAATTTATTTTTATAGTACATAAATCATAAGTTAAGTATATAATTTATTCAACAATATTAATTAAAAATAAATGCAATTTATATCATAAAAAGTTTATTTAAAAATATATTTAAAAATATATATTGCATGTTCTAAATTTAAGAATTAAAAAACTTGAAATTATTTAGCTCCATATCACTTAGATAACTTCAACTAAGTAATATTTATACATTATATTCTCTATGAAGTTTGGATGGGGTAAGAACTCATATGGAGTGAAGGTAACATGTGAAATTATTAGTTAAAATTTTTTATTTAAAAATGAAATATTTTAAATTTAAATTAATTTGTTAAATTTCAAAGATTACTTAATATTTTATTTCTAAATATATTAACTTAATTTACTTCATTTTTTATTTTGTTAGAAATCAAATAGATCGTTTCAAGGGTATTAGATTCGATTCGTTGGTTAATTTGGAGGTTCTGGCTGATTCATCCGTATTTGAAATAAACTATTTTTTAGGATCAACCGAATCGGCCTTAAGACTAGTTCACGTTGAACTAGTCTGACAGACCTGTCTGATCTAATTTTAAAAACTCTTAAATATAATAATTTTAACTATTTACTGTAAATACTTTGTGATAATACAACATAATTTTATTTATGTATCTGTTGGATACACACTGTAGTTTACATTCTGCAATTGATTGAGATAATATTAAAAAATAAAATAATGAGAATATGGATTGCATGCTGTGGGCTCAGAAAATTCGGCCCGGGCCTCCGCACGCTATGCTTTTTCTTCGGGGGAGTTTTAACGGATTAAGTTCCATAATAAATTTTTTGAAGGCATATGGATTTATACATAAGAAACTATCCAGAGATTTCGCCCTCATTTTGTGAGGACTTTATGATCTGAGTTCTAGTTTCCTATAGTTAATTATCCCTCCTGTTCACATGAGAGAACTTTCGATTAATGCTAGTCGTCAATCAGATATGTAGATAATATGTGTTATGATGCATATAGTAGCAGCATGGGTTTAGGAATTTGGGAATTTGAAAATTAAGGGGTTGATATTTAAAATTAAAAATTTCACCATCTTGCACTTAAAGTAGATGATGGGTGAATAGATGAGGGACCCGAACAAGATCCCATGATTTCGTCGTCCTAGGCCATCATGGTCCCTGGTCTACTTAGTTAGAGGAGGTAGTCGACCCAACCTGACAGAAGGATCATTGTCGACAGCCATGGGTTGCTTCGTCCAAGGGAATCTTATAGACCTAGAACGAGTGTTCATCTAAGGGGGAAAATTTGAATCCACCTTAGCTAATCGAGGGCTTTATGCCCTATCGATCATACCCTATTAATTCATATCTCAAGAATTTGAATCCACTAGGGAGCGTATTGGCTCTGGCCAAAACTGATATTTCATGGTGCCATTTGACGGCAAAACCACTAGATTCAGAGGGCCCTTGGTCATAACCGTTTATCCTACAATGCCAATTGACGACAAAATCGTTAGTTAGAGGACACGTACAATGTCTTTAATTGTAGGAGATTGTTTGAAAATGGATCCTAGTGATGATATTTTTTAATAGGAATTAACTCTATGTGAGCTGAAGTAAATTTTAATTTGTTTACCCCGGCAAACTATTGTGGAGAGTGGATGAATTCTGTGCTTTTAAGTGTTTGATGGTTTGATTTCAATTTTAAAACATTTAGATTTTGGGACTTTTGGTGTTTTTTTGGATTTTCATGAGTATTGTGGTGAATTTTTGAATTTTTTGAAATGGATCACTTCGGTTGAGATATGCATTCAATACGACCATCATCGGGGTGTCCGTGGTCACTTTTATTTGATTTTTTTATTTTTATAGATGATCCTTGTCAACTCTTTCGAGCTGTCAATAGATGTTCATGTTTTGTTGGCTTTATGCCTTTATTAGTGAATTCTCATTGTTATAGGCCTTGAAGGCCTAATATGAATGTATTAAGACAAATATATCGATTTTCGCAATCATATATTTGTTTGATGATTCAAAGCTCATTGACTCTTATTGATCTACATAGAAGGATAGGGTTCAAACTTGAATTCACTTATAGACCT